CAATATGGCAACTTGAGCCGTAGCCATTTATCAAAGTAAACCTACTTGGACAAACCGGGATCAACTTAATCGGACCCGCCAACCCAGAAGGTGAACCGACCCGGGTTTCAACACGTCTCCTACTCCATGGAGCTGTGACAGATACATCCCTCCGAAGAGCTCCCTAGCAGCACACACAAGCAAGTACCACACGCACACATGACATGCACAACATCCTGCCGAGGCCGGGATCATATGGACAACTTCTGCTGCAACTTGCTGAGCCCTCTACTTCGAGGCTAGAACCCCCTGTTTGGCGGACATCCCTCTCTCTCTCTACTTCGTTTTGCCTCCAATGGTAAGTGGATTGTATCTGCTCGACATCCTGCTCGGGAGCGTCCGGAGGACGCAGCATGTCTTGCATCCCAATCTTTGGATTCCTGAACCCCTCATGCTCCTTGGCTGGCAGGTCCGAAGTGCGCAGCGTGGGCGGCAGGGGCGGCAAGTGAGGCTTCTCACCACCACCTAGCAGCCTTGAGTTTGTGGCAGGAGGCGCAAGTGACTCCAATGCAAAACGCGTGAAACCTCTACCTTCCCTGAGTGCTGCCAGATGGCGTAAGTGGCTTTATGCGCTGTTGCGCGCTGTGCGCCTCTGCCTTCGCTGCCAATTGTGCCTGGTGAGTGCATGTGTGCCACAACCCCCTTCCTCCGCGCCAACTCTTGACAACTCACTGTCACAGCTGCTAGGAATGCCAGCACCATTTCTGCATGCCGGCTTGAGAAACGTTGTGATTTTCACAGTGCAAACCAGCAAAGCAGGGCAAGGATGCCGAAACTTGAAAAAGATTGCATGCAGCAAAAGCCTTCGGACAGCCCCGCGTGCACTGAATGCAGGAACCTTGAAATGCGACCCTCTCAACTCCAGCTTGATCTGGACCTATCAATGTTTGGTTGTGAATCCTGTTGCCATTACCCCTTGCCAACGAATGCAGGGTTTTGGTCAAGAGGTCACCATTAACCAGCAACTGAGTGTGGCTGACAAGCCCTTCAAACTGCACACCGATCACAGGGTGCACGGAACAAACGTAGGGAAGATTGATAAATCTGGTCAGACTTGGCTCGTCTTTTGCAACGACGCCAGGTCTGATGACTTCACAAAAGTCCTAGGAACTTGAGAAAGTGGAAGGCGTTGCGAGGCAGCCAGCTAAAGGGGCCGCCATCCGACTACAGAAACACTCGGAAGCATCAACATGTGGCTCTAGATCATGCATAATAGTGACCAAAACCATGATGGTGCCTATGGTTGCGGGTGGGGCGGAAGGCGAAGGTAGAGAAGCTGGGCGCAAAGCAAGCAGCATGCAAAAACTGCCCGGCATAGAACTCAAATCTTTCCCTCTGCATTCTTATAAGGTCTGCAGGGCTTTGCGCCCTTGACATGGACTAGCAGTCCTGCTTCTCGAATTCAGCTTGCCATGACAAGCCGCTGTACCCCACCACTGTCTCCGCCGCAGGCTGCGTTTCCCCAAGTAACAAGCTGTACACCACCGACAAGAGCGGCGAAGGCGCCACAGGAGGCTTCGATCTGCTGTACCTAAGATGAAGTGGAAAATAAAAAACATTCAAAACTGAAAGCCCTTCCAAAAACTTTTGAGCACCGTTGCCTCTCGCAGCTGGTCCTGTACGGCGCTGCTGTCGCCTCCATGGTTGGCACTTCCCCAGGTCACCACACGGCCACATCCTAGAACAGCTGCAAAAGCGTAGTTGGAGGCATGAATTTCCCGCACGTCGGTGAGCTCGTCCTTTACATTTCTGGAGTCTCCACCATACGCAGGCGAGCCCCAAGTGACAACACGCCTGTTCTTCAGGAGCGCTGCAAATGCAAAGCCACAGGCTTGAATGTCTTGAACATCCCTGAGCTCGTCCTGTACTTGGCTGCTATCTCCACCATAAGCCGCACCACCCCAGGTGACTACATGCCCATCCTCTCGTATCGCTGCAAAGGCATGGTTTGAAGCAGCAATCATGCGCACATGATGCAACTCATCCTTAACACTGCTGCTGTCACCACCAAAGATTGGAGCTCCCCAAGTTACCACATCTCCATTGCTGAGAAGAGCAGCAAATGCGAAAGCTGTTGCTCGAATCTGCTTCACCTGTCTCAGCTGCGCTTGCACTGGACGGCTGTCGGCACCGTAAATTGACGCGCCCCATGTCACCACGCAGCCGTCTTTCAGCAGTGCTGCAAATGCTCCGCTGGTCGCTTGAATTTGCTCTACGGCATGGAGCTGTGACTGGACCACGCTCGAGTCTCCACCGTAGCTTGGCCATCCCCATGTGACCACATCACCACTTCCAACAATGGCTGCAAACGCATAATTGGATGCTTGAATCTCTTGCACATCCCGCAGAAGGTGCCGCACGCTGCTGCTATCCCCGCCGTGCTTTGACAGTCCCCAGGTGACCACGGAGCCGTCCCTCAGAATGGCTGCAAATGCGTCGTAAGAGGCCCGAACCTGGTGCACATCTTGCAACTGTGCCGGTGGCACACCCCGCTGGGTATCATCACAGCATGAACTTCCCCAGGTGACGACGGAGCCATCTCCCCGAATCAGAGCGAAGGATGCAGAGAACCTCGCAGATGCCAGCGATGCTTGCCGCACCAACGCTGTGACAAAATCGCCATCTTGCAGGCCCGCGTCGGCAAGAGTACAGGCGGGCTCCAATACCTCCGCACAGCACATCAATTCAGTCGAGCCCGGTTTTTTGGAATGGGTTGGATTTGAACTGTGGTAGTGCCTGTAGCCTAGCCCAAAAATTCCCCAAAGCATTGTTGTCGTAGCTGCAGGTAGCAGCTCTGGAAGATGTTGCTTGCACGGCACTACGCATAGGCACCTACCAGCAGTCCTCAACTACAAATTTCTGGACAAGTTACATAGCTCCTGGCAGTAACGAGGCTACCAATGCCCAGCTTCAACTGGCGCTGCAGTTTTGCTCGAAACTCCTTGACTGTCCAGCTCGGGTCCGCTGCGACAGGCTGAGTACGTCCGCTAAGCAGCGTGATCTGCAGAGTGATTGGCAGCGACAACTGCGCAGAGCTTCTGCACATGTTGTCTGGCAGCAGGGCAACTATACGAATTATGGAACTAGCAAGCTGCAGAAAGAACTGAGGCAGGCTTGTCAAGATGCTGCCAGAATTGGACAGCGCAAGTCTTGAAATCGAGTTTCGTGGCGGTGGAAGTGCCAAAGCTGTGAAATGCACAATTGACAAATCTAAAACCAAGTGTCGCATGATCTTTCATGATATCTCATCCCACAGGTCCCCTGCTTTCTGACCTGCTATCTTGCTGTCGTTCAGCGACAGGCTGAGAGCCGACCACAATGCAGATGTGACTAAGGTGCAAAGTGAACACGAGCTGAGCAAAGTGAGCAGCCAAGGACTTTATGCCTTGATGCCCTTCCACTTCTGTTGCCGAAGTGTCCAAGAATTCCTGGGCTAAAAAGCTTCCAGTGGAAGCAGCGCTAAATGAAAAACAGGTGGCCAAGAAGCTGGTCTTCGGTCGCCCGCGGGGTTCTTGACGTGCGCGGTGTGAGCTTGACGGATGTCGGCAGCCGTGTTCCCAGCGAGGCAAACTGCACCAGGCGGGCTAAAAAAAAGGATTCATGGAACGTTCATGGTAGGAAGGTCGTTGAACAAAAGTGCAAACCAACAGGGGATGCAATCTCTCTGACCTTGTCGACATTGCAACCCAAGAAATCCAAAGGTGCAGCAGATTGTTCTAGAACGCGCTGAAATTCAGCACAGAACTGAATTCAGCCATGAAATTTCAGCTGGGAAATGGATGCACTCAAAGATGGAGCCTCTTATGGTCTGGGCATGCATGCTCTGGGGAAGGGATGCATTTGGGTATGGGCATTACCAGAATGTGCAGGCCCAAAGCTCCGGAAAACGCATGCGGGGACGGAAATTGTTGTAAAAACAATGTCGTTACTTTGAGAATGGGCGCATTTGAAGATGGATGCGCCAGCGGAAGGACGTTACTTGAGGGGAAAGCCGAGGCCACAAAAGATAGCCACTACCTACGCACAAAAGAATTGATGGAGGCTGATCCCTGAACACGCAGGGGCCGCCCGGCGGCGCGCTGAACGTAACACAGCGAACACTCATGGCATATGGGATCATATCGGGAACAACATCTCCCACATGCCAAAGCGGCACCCAGTGCCTCTACCACAACCGCCTCGAAGGCGGAGGGCAGTTGCTCTCCCAGGGAGTAAATAACGCGGAATGTTTATACAGGCAGAGGGGGGTGGGATGAAACACAACGCCCAGCAATTCTGGGTGCCCCTCACACTCTGAGTTCTACTTCCATTTTGACCGTGAGCCAACATGAATTGCATATAGCCTCACTGCAGCATGACCTAAGCAACGCACGACATCACGTAAGATGTAGTGGAAGTGGAGCGCAAGAACGAATACTGTTCACCTAGCCTGCCCGAAGCACAAAACAGCGACAGCACCAAACAGAATTTTGCCCGTACGATGACCACACAAGGGTAGTGACACGACAGAAGGGTGAGGGATGTTAGATGCAACTACCAATGCTGTTCGTATCATGACCTTGGAGGATCTTGGCAGCTTAGTGAATACAACTGCAGGGGTGGGGAAGCTTCATGCAACCACCAGGCATGATGCTGTGATGCTTTTCATGCCGTGGCCTTGCAGGGGCAGCAAAATCTACAAAGGAAGAAGGGAGGCTTCGCAACACAGCAAGATGGTACCTGCACCATGACCGCAGGGGCACAAGAGTAGAAAGGCTTGATACAACCACCCAGCATGATGTCGCAAACACTAGGGGCAGAGGAGGAAGGCCTGGTGCAACAACCAAGCGCGATGAGAATGCAAGGGCACGGAACACTACAATGAGATTCAGCAATCGAGCACAGTGTCACTCTTGCAGGGGTAGTGAACATTAATACATCGGAGAACATCAAAGATGTGAAGGTTTATGCGGCCACCAAGCATGAGGTTGCTCGTACGGTGGCCATGCAAATTAAATGAGCAGAGTCGGTGCGAGCATGCTACAGCAAGAGACAACTCAAGCCGAGCTACCCCTGCTTTCGTGATTAATTGTCTGGGCCTGAACACTCTGGGAATGGCTCGAAAAGGAATGATCTGGAACCGTACGTACTTGGGTTCACATGTTATTCATGGTCTCACATGCAGGAACGTGCAAGGCGTGTAGCCGCTTCGACAAGCAACTCGAGCGCCTCCAGCAGCAATTTCAGACGATCATCAGACGCCATGGCAATCGAGCTATGGCCGTAAGATGTTTTCACCCGTTCACTCGAGCCAAAATGGCTACGTCAAGTCTGAGATGGGATGACCTGCTCGAGAATCTTGCCAGTCGTGTGTGCAAATTGTGGGGCACTTTGTTTCTCGCGGGCCTTTTTCGCATTGCGACTGCAAGTAGCAACAAAAACCTGTGAGGAGTCGGAACGGACTGCGGGAATAAGATTCTCTTGTCCCAGTTGAGATCCTTACACGTCTACACTACTTTGCGCGATCAGCACTTGAGTGACGTGAAGATACTTGGGGTATATCACGGATGAACCCGCCCCAACTCGGAAAATTTTGTCTCGCTAAAGCGGTTTCTCGGGGCTTTAGGCCTCTTCTTCACTGGACTCTTCTCCACTGGAATAGGCTTCCCCGTGGCGGGCTGATGCCGAGCTCTCCACAGGCTGGCTTTCAAAGACACCTGCTTCTACTGTGCACGATTTTGACAGTCTCAATCGACAACAGGCTATTCTGTTCCTAGGTTAACAACGGGTGGGCACCCATGTGGCGCCATGTCTGGCGAAGCACGGGCTCATGTTTGAATGGCTTTGTGTCTGCTGCGCCTGTCTGCCCGGCATCTGCTTCTGCAGCCTGCACATGCTGATTACGACAGCTGACCAGGAGTGCTGCAAACATTCCGTGGATGGCAACGAACTTAGATGCAGGCCTTCTGAATAGTCTCCCGTGCTTCAGATGCACGAGCAACCGCCTTACTTAGGTCAGTGAAGCATGTACTCGCGGCACCTGCAAAAAAATCAAAGTTAACTTGTCATGTCCGCGGCGCAGCTGATGGCGTCTTTGGCTTGCGCATCATCGGCTCTGCTTGTGCAGCAGCTTTCTCAATCAGCATCCTGCACGCACAAGTAATTAGCTGGGAGCGCAGGCCAGCGAGCTGTCAGTCCTGGCAGACTCTGTTGGGCGCAAGTTGTCAGAGACAAAATCCTCAGAAGTTGATGCGAACAATGTCTGTCAGAAACATCTGGGTAAGGGTCATGACTGCACTTCCAAGATGGCCCGCTGCAACCACGAACTCGATGAAGAAACGACACGAGACATAAATAACAACACATATGACACCGAGAGACGCAACTCACTAAGACGACGCACGACGACCCCGTCGGCCAGGCATGACAGGATGACGTGGTGCAGCACCAGCAAGAACGCTATAAAAGCGATGACACTGACACTACAAGTACTGCCAGCAGCTTACACTTCTGGAAATCTTAAAGCAACGATAGTTGCGAGTATTGCGACCCCGCCCCGCCAGGCGCGCCCTGTTTTTATGGTTCCTGGCGCTTGTGGAATGCGAGACTGATCCGAAAAGCGATGACGGCTGCGAGAACCGTGCTTCCACCCACCCCATTCAGCGACTGCCGACTTTTGACACGCTCAGACCATTGCGGCAAAGCCTAGCTGCACAGCGCGGCAAAAATGCCAGCGTGACCCGGCAAAATGTTTGCCAGATGCTTGCAGACACTCTGGACTCAATGACTTGCCAGCTCGCCTTGCAAACACACCCTGACGCTAGTCAGCAGTGGCGTATAAGACTACATCAACTCGGAGAAATGATCTGGTAGCGCTCAGAGATCCAAAGCCGAAACAAAAAAAGAACAGACACACCTCGAAACTCTTTGGCCCCAAAAGATCATTTGCCGGCCATTCCCAATGCAAGCCACTTGCGGCTTGCAGGCCTCTGGTTTCCCAAAAAATCCTCTTGGAATATCCTATGCAGGCATAGCCACTAAGTTACATCTCTCAAGCACTTCGAGGCCGTGTCCGCTCGCGAAGTTGCAGGACTGCTTTCGTACACTGAAGCCGCTGCAGCCTGGCTCAGGGCAACATGTCACAGCGTCACAGCTAGTAGCAGGATGGCTTGTTGACACAATTCTTGGCCCTGTCTAGTGACAGAACCACCGGCTTCCACTTTGAATTTGCTAGCACTGTACCAGAGCAAAATTGCTGCACCACAAATAGTGCTAGCTGGACTAATCCCTCCAAAACTTGACCCTGCCAGCCGTGGTGCGACGACGCTTGGGAAACATGAGCGTTGCTTGCAGTAGGAGTGCTGTCGCACCTGGGTGTTGTTGAAAATTCTAGTCGATGCCATAATGCTAGCGCTGCCTTGCGCCTGCCCTGGCGGTCCCAGACTTAAAACCAGATGCCTTCCGAACAGCTTTCGCGGCAGAAAGCGCTCGAGATCGGAAACTAAGGATCAAACCTTACTTAGCTTGTTGCACATTTGCACGAGACATGACCAGGCATGATGTTACTGTGATCATGACCACGCAAGGGTAGTGAACACAAAGGCAAAGCAGGGTGGCCTGGACATGACGTCATCCGCACAATAACCACAGAAAGTGAAGTGAAAGCCACAGGAGCAGTAGGGAGGTTTCACGCAACCTCCAAGCCTAGAGACATGCAAGGATAGGAAGTACTTCGGGAGGTGTGATGCAACCACTAGGCATGACGTTATTCGCGCCGTTGAGGGTCCTAGGATGTCCTGTCGGCAACGTTCCCCCCCTCCCGCGCCGATTTTTTGTCACTTTGAAAGTTTGGCTTGCGGGCCTGGCTTGACTGCTGGTCCGTTGGCAGTCCCACCACGGCGACTGAGCATTTTACATCCCCACCCCCCGCCCCCGTACGCTGCTGAGTTCTGCCTGCTCGACCTTTCATTTCACTTCAACCCGAAGCGGAGGTCAAGCTAAATGCACGCAAACTCCGCCTTCGGCTTCTGCACACCAAAACAAGAAAAGATAATGCCTGTCCGCCCATCGGAACGCACTGCCTTCCTCCTACGAGGCACCAAACTAGATCAAACTGGTCAAAGCCATCCAGCAAAGCCAGCACGAACTTGTTTGGAAGCCCTGCTTGCTCTTTATGTCTTCAGCCTCGCATGTTTGTTGCTTCGCTCCGGCTTCGACCCGCCCATGGCCCCCGAGGCGGCACTCGCAGTTTTTACTAATGTCTAATTTATCGAGACAATCAATATTGACGCCCCCGAAAAGGTCAGATTTCTGTAAAATCCGCCCATGCCGGCCTGATGAGGCGCACGTGCGCACACTGAAACAAAAAACTCTTGTCCCCACATCATGCTATCACATCTATCACTAAGAATTGAAAACAATGGATCTCGAACCCTCTGCCATCCTTCGATGCAAGCAAAAGCTTTCCATGTCTTCCCCTCCCTGCTACTGCTAAAGCCAGAAACAACTCAAACCTAGAGTGACGAGATGTTTTGCTTGTGCAACTTTCGCGGTCCTGCCACCTGTCACACCTTTGCATAGTTGAGGCCTTATGAGTTGCTGTTTTACTGAGACAGCGCAAACATGCGCAAACCATAGAATGGAAAAACAGACACTGCGTGGCCCCGCCTTACATAAGTCAACCTTTCCGTGTGCAGCTTCTCTGGCAAACCGACTCCAACGCAAAAGTCACAAGAAATCCAAACCATGCAGTGGAATGACAACACCTCGTTGGCCATGTTCTCAGCACTGAACGATGCTCGGCCTGAGCTGTAGCAACATGCAATGCGGCTAAGGTACTTAACAGCGTCATCAAACACCCTGCGAGGCTTTTCAGTCCGGATATCGGCTCAAGCTGGATTCTACCAAAGCTGTGCAAAATGCCATTGCGTTTGCAAAAGCATCCGTGAGACCCAAGGACTTTCACGCCTCAGCCTTGATGCTGGCCCTGACATGGTCTCAGCTCAGCTAGCAGCTAGCAATTTGCACAAGTGGTTTGGCAAGCTGGCCTCCCATGATTCGAGCGCAAATTGTTGACCAGTGCTTGGTCCATTTTGGGTTTCGGCGGTGGTGGAGGTGGCGGCGTTGGGGGCTTCACGTAAAGCTGGCGATTTAATTTCCGGACCTGTAGAATCTCCGGTGTGGCATTCTCTTTGGCCGCTTCCTGCAACAGCGACGTGTCGCTCCAACATCTGTTGGCCTTCTTCATGGCCTGGCAGAGAGTATGGCAACATGAATGAAGTGGATCTTGCGTAGAGTCCATGCTAACGGACACTTGCCTTCATGAAGACCTGGTGCCCTGTATGTGTGTATCGCTTCTCCTGAGATGAGTCAAGCATTCAAACATCCAAAAGGCATTACCAAATAAATCGACGCGTGTAACCAGTCAGGGCTACACACGTATAGTTCATGATGAACATGTCATGTCCTACGCATTTCACACCAACTCACCTTCAGTTCGTTGTCGCCCATGAGCTCCAACTGGAGCCGAGTCCTCTCGCACAAGCCAGGTGGAAACAGATCTACTGCAAGTCAAACAAAATTTCAACAGCATGTCCACTAAAATTTTGAGCGTGACCTTTTGGCAAGCCATACCTTTACCCCGACGTGCGTTGGCATTTGAACTCAGGGCACCTGCGATGGACTTGGCCCAGCCGGCGTTTGGCCTGGTCTTCCCAGTTGTCCTTGGTCTCAGCACATGTCCCAGAACCACAAGAGACATAATGACTTGTCTGCCAGGACACATTGAGTGCACCAAGCCTGGCCACACGCTCCGCCTCCACACCACCTAGGAGCAACCCTCAATTGTCTGACCACATCCCTGAGAATCAGTATGACAAGGGGCGAAGGAAGTCGCTGAACACATCGGTGCGCTCTTCAGCGGCACGTGGTCTCAAAGAAAGCTTGATCACTGGCTGCCGCTTTTCAGTAGCCACTTCTGCCCAGGTTCGAACATGCAATCTGAATCATTCGCAGCTTTTTGCACATAAACCTGTACCACAAACGCTGCCGCTGCCGCCGCCGCCATCATCACCACCACCAACACCACCACCGCCACCGCCACCGCTGCCCCCACCGCCGCCCCCACCACGACCACCACCACCACCACCACCACCACCACCACCACCACCACCACCACCACCACCACCACCACCGTCGCAAGCACCGCAACCACCGCAACCACCGCAACCACCGCCAACGTCACCGTCACCACCACCATGAATAAGTCCAACCGCGAGCATAATAGAAATGGTGCTCATCAAGCAACCAAATAATGAGAGCAAAAAACTGAACCCTGCTAAGAATGCAAATGGTGCCTGATGACTTCAGAGCCCCTGCACTGTGCGTCTTCGACGTGCTATCGTCCTTGATCCGCATCTTCTTTTCCTTTCGTGCTTTTCGCCCAATCTGAGGTAGACTCACCTGTCCAAGCAAGCATAGGAAGTCGACAATGCTCTGCCAAGACTGGAAGTGTTGACACTCATGCTGAAATTCGACAGGTTTTCGCTATCCCGCCGTTCGATTCTTGGGCGTCAAGGTGTCCCGCAACAACGCCGTCTCGTTCAAAGTGGTTTCGAAATCACCGGAAACTCCTGTAACAAATGCCCCTTGTTTGATTGTTGGCAGAAGTCTCACAAACAACTCCGAGTACATGCAAGGCAGATGCTATACTGACCCCCCTTGACCCGAACATTCTGCAATAGAAAGGCCCATCCTGGGCACATATCCAACTCGATGGACTCTGCAACCAATGCTGCGCAACGCAAAGCAGAAGCTTCCCCAGCAATGCTTGTGGCCTGGAGAGTTTGAGCACAGGTCACGACATCACGGCAAATCAAGATTCGTTGAAACGGCGTCCATTGACTGTTGAACCAATACAACCGGTTTTTTTCAGCTTCCGCCTTCATGCCGCCAAGGTTCCCCCGCATCCCCACACTGCTCTGCCCATGCCAGAATCTGGTCTAATCCTCGCTGGGCTTTCCGGACATGAGCGATGGCCTCGCGATGCCGCGCAGCCTCAATCCAAGGCACATTTTGTCCATGCGCTTGTTTGCGTCGGCTACAAGTAGCAAGATTCCGAAAATCAAGCCCTCAAACTCAGCTTCTTGCCTCTGACAATGCGGCTGCCAAGTTGACACGCGCCCGAGCTGCTTCCACAGCAACAGCTGGATGTATATGTTCAGCCCTTGCACACATGGCGACAGCCCGTTCCAGCGTCCGCACTGCTCGCCCGGCTTGACCTTTTTGTCGCAATGCCGCTGCTAGGTCTGAGTGTTGGGCTACAGCCGTCAACATCTCCCTCATGTCATCCGCCGGCACAGTAGAGCTTGCACTTGGGGATGTACAATCTAATTGTTGCATGCTGCCATTCGCGGATATGTCCATCCCGTCGCCATCATGTTGTGACGTTTCTGGAAGTTCGGCATTGACCACAACATATTCGGCCATGGCACAGGAGGTCACGGCTACATTCGCACTGAAACCAAATGACAAAAAGGAGTCATGACGTCGGCAACCTTCCAGATAGCTCATGCGAAGTTCGTAAACCTTGTTGGGCCAAGTTGCTTTTTTCTGGCTTGCTTTCATAAACGGCAGTGCTTGCCAATTCTGCTGCTCGCCTCAGCACGCATGCCACAGATGACCCAACCAAACATTACTGCAAATGACATGACATCTCACGCGCCCAAGGTGCCGAAACAATGGATGCGTCATGGCACCGCCACCTTTATCTGCAACCGCAGTTTTCAGACCTGTTCGCCTCAGAAGGAAAAACAAACGACAAATGTCAGCGCAAATCTTCGAGCCAAGACACGCGTGCATGACCTGACAGCATGAATCCTTCTACCATGACGGCCACTGCAACCTTACATAGCCCACCTTCATAGAGCCCGCGTCATCGCTTGCCATTGTTCCCTCTGCCATCGGCGAGTTGCCAAGGGCGCAATGTTGCCCACTCACAAAATCGGCATGATTAGTAGATTAGCGTGGCACATCTGGCAAAACACATCCATTGTGCAACGCTTCACATTACTGTATGCGGATCGTGCAGCACCTCTGAACCACACCTCACTAGCAAGAGTGCCCAAAGATTGGGAATCATGCAATGATGCAATGCTGGCCATCTGGTCCCTCGACGTATTGGCGGTGTTAGTACCAGGATGCGTAATCGCCGTTTGTGGAGAAACCAGTGAGCGCGGGTTGACAGCCCAAAAACACTTGACAGTGTTTTCTGCTTCGCAGCTGAGTGGCTGTTTGAGCTCCAGGGCGTCAAGGTGCAATTAAATGTAACAGACAATTTTAAGGCTTGTGCACCAGTCTTGGAATTCGACAACCCTAAGGTGTGAAATTCGTAATTTACTCGTAAGGTTTGCAGCCTAGCCTGGAGCTGGGCATTCGCATCGGGGCCCTGCTTGGCTCTCGTTTTGTATCTTGCAGTGCCCTTTGCACAGCAAAATGCTTCTAGCAGAGGTCGGATCGCCAACACTTTGCTTCGTATCAAATTGTCTGGCTTTCTGCAAGTAGCCACCACACCCCACGACGAAAAGCCTGTCTGGGTCATGCCTGACCACAACCCTGTAAAATGTGCAGCTCGCAATTTTTGCTTTGCCCTTCGGCGGCTTCTGAAAGGAGGGTGGGCAGCTCCCAGTCCAAGTGAATAAAACATGCAGTACACCATGTCCCAGGATCGCGAGTTTGCACGGACGGCCGACGTCTCAGACCATCCGCCCCAAACTGCAACGCTACACCCTGCCCAAGAATGCCCTAGCCATATCAAAATGTGCAAAATCACAGCTAGCTAGAAATCAGCTGCCAAATGCTCACAGCGGTATCGTTTTCATCGCGCACGAGCTTTGGCGACACCAAACTTCTGCAGGTTGGTCCTCCGAGTTTCGCATGTCAACTTTGACTTGAGCAAAAAATATTCCTGCTCAAGAGCCAGGATTTGCAAACTCCTCTTCAGGTGGCGGTGTAGCACGCGCTGAGCAGCTATGGCAGCATTCCTTCGCGGGTAGAAAATGCACGAGGGCTCCTTTAGCACTTCACAAACATGAGCACCACTTGTCTGGCCCAAGGTTCCTGTTGTCTTGGACCTCCTTCGCCGTGAGGCTCGGCCGTTGCACGTCCTGCGATGACACAACTGCAACGACTTTCAACCTGGAAGACCAGCATGTTCAGCCTGCCACGGGTCGTTGCCTTCCTTCTGCTGCCTTTGCAATGGCTGATGTCAACATACACGGTTGACGTAGTCATCTGCACTCTGAGATGCTTCTGGTGTCGGAGCTTATGTAGAGCTGGACATGATGGGTTTGAGGGGTGCGCCAGTGCCACGACTGGCGGCTTACAGAATTGAGGTCATATTCAATTCAAGCCTAGAAGAAGTGGGGAATCAAGGGAAAACGCCAACCTTCAAGCTGCCAACATCTGCAGAAGCTCGACCGGCGCTTAAGATTTCCTTGCGTCTGAAGAATTCACGCTTCGGCTCGAATGGAAAGTCGAGCTTGCACAATATTTTCTAATTCTGCGGGTCTCCCTTCACTGCACGTAGCGGGACCCACCTGTCTGCCACCTTGATCCCAACAAGAGCTCTGCAAAAAAGCTGCACTTCCCCAAGCCGCGGCCGCAGAGCTGCCCTTGGGGAGCTGGGTGCGCCTGCGTGAGCTGTCAGTATGCGAGATGTTCAGCATGGAATTTGCTCGCGACAGGTGATATGCAGAGCGCTCTTAAGCATGGAAATGCTTGAAACCTGGCAGCAGCTCAGGCACCTGGCTTGACCAAGTCTGCCAAGTTGTCATTCAAACGGACCTCAGCGCGTTAAGCCAAGCAGCTGAACAAAGCAAGGGTCCACCAGCCGATGCATGCCGACACCGTGTCGAAGTCTCCGCATAGTACTACCTTGCGGCCTGGCAACCTGGCGGACGTTGCCCAATTGAGGTGCCTGGCGAGAGGCCGTGACTCGGCGGGCGGATTCCTTCCTTGGCTTTGTGATTGCCTGCGCTCCGCGAAGGCATGCGCACGAAAGGCTGGCTTGTGAGGCCATGGGGCTGGAAGATTCTGGATCACGCGGGGAAAAGATCCCAAGCGTTCTCATCATTCGAACTTGTCTTCTAGAAGCTCACAAAAAACAGTGCGGAAAGGAATGGGCTGCAAAATGAAAAGTCAAGACTCTGCTTGGCGGCCTTTGGGCTGGGGCGGTGCCCGGCACCGGGCAGCGACGGAAAAATTATATCGCCCAAGTCCTCAACATCAGGGAAGTGCCGTTCTTGCCAGTGCCGGGGAGGGGCCTGCTATCAACATGGAGACCTAGGCAAGCCTGAGATTCCATCAGAATGACTGTTTTGAACCTGTCCTCAGGGTCCGGTGCTTCGGCCTTCTCCACTGTAGATTGCTTTAGCGCCTCCGTTCTTTTTTATGGCAGAAGGGAGGGGGCAGGGCTGTGCGTACCAAACCCCTCCATCCTTCACGCTCCCTAACGAAGCATAGGGACCGGAACGGTTGCACTTCCAAAAATGACAAAAACAACGCTTTCCTCTTCACTTCCGGAGACACTCGGTTCTTTGCCTTCAAGCAGCTGTGTGCTTAGTGCCTCTCCTGACCCTATACGTTACACATGCATTTCTGTTCCTGCACATGCAACAAGACTGCTGGACTAGCTGTTCCTTGGCAATAACGTTTAACACCCCGCCTCAAAAGTTATTCAATCCTGAGCTGACTTCTACATTAGCTACTTTTCCTATTGGAGTGGGAAACGTAACTCCATTTCGCACATCACTCAACAACAAAATATTCTTCTACAAGGAACGTTTGTACAACATCCTCTACTGCTTTGGATATGCACGCACTTGTTACCTGAAACAAAAGCAAAACAACACAATACATTCCTTCTATACATGCTCTGGTAGTAGTGGTGGTTGCTGGTGGTTTCTCGGATCATTGTGGCATTGGTGTCCAAACTTTTCCTTCACCACCATTTTTCCTCTTCTTGCTTATTCTTCCAGCTTTCCTTTCCTGTGAACTTTGCCAACTTCGTTGGATCTTTGTCCTGCCAGAACCATTCATTCCTGGCACTGGAAATTGTACATGTGCACATATCGCCGTTCCATTTCAAGAACTCAAGTTAAAGTCTTCCTTTCCTTTGACTTTTCCTCCTTTGGATTTTGGCTTTACTCCTCCTCTTTCTTTGCTTCCGGTGGCTTCGTCACTGTCATCCTTATTATTCTTCTCCTCATCTTCACTTGCTTTCTTCTTCCTTTCCTCATTTTCCTTGTCCTTCTTCTTCCTTTCCTTAAGCTCCCGTCTCAGCCTCTTCAGTTCTTCTGCCAAGCTGTTCTGAAACATTTTGTTGTGCTTCCTTTCCTCGCCAAGTGCTTCATGCTCTCTCTCAATTGTTTTTGATGATCCCTCCTGATCTTTTCACTAAGCCTGAGATCATTGGCTACTTCCTTGAGGTCATTCTCAAGCTGTCCTGATTCTTGTCGCATCATCTCGCTGCGGTTGCTTTCTTCCTGGTGGGATCATATGGGTACCGGGTAGCTCGTTCCTTCTTCCTTTGCTTTGCGTCTTGTGCTTTGAGCCTGTTCTTCTCAAGGACCTTCCTGAGTTTTTCCTTTTTTGCCCTTTTTTTCCTCCTCATCAGTTGCTTCTACGAGAACTGCTCTGGCTCTTGCTTTTGCTTGTTCTTCCTTTTTATCACTCTCCTCTGCTGCTGCCTTGGCTGCTGCTGCTTGCTTCTTGTTGTATTCCTCTTCTCCTTGCTGCTTGTCTTTCTTCTTCTTGTAATCGTCAAAACTAATTGTCAACTCTTTCCTGGATTGTTTTTGGCGGACCTTGTGCGGTCCATTCCTTCTTGCTCATTCCTCGTAGTATGTGATGCGGAAGCGCTTTTGCTGGTGGACTGCCTTTGGCTTTTCCTTTGATCCTTTGAACTCCTTCTTCGCAACTTTCTGCCTTCTCTTCCTCAGCTTTAATTCTTGCTGCATCTTCCTCTTCTGCTTTCCTCAGTCTTTCCTGCAGGTCTTGTTCAACTTTCTTTCTCAACTCCTCTCTTCTTTTGGCTGCTTCTTCTCTCATCTTTTTGAGCTCCTCAGTCTTCTTTCCCTTCTCTATTTTCCTTGGTGGTGGGCTCTTCATTGGAACTGATTGTCCTGTCATTGGCACTGGTCCTGCTGTTGGTGCTTCAGCTGCTGCTTTGTAGATTGATGTAATCTCCTGTTTCTTTCTTTTCCTTCTTTCTTCCTTGCACGTCTTGCTTTCTTTGTACTCTGCTTCTCTTTCCTTTGTTCTTCCTCTTTGGGGTACAGGTTTATTTTTGTCTGCCCGGTCCCGGTAACCCGATCCCCGTGGCCCGGCGGTTCACGGTTTCGGCCCAGTCTTTCCGGTGGTCTGGTTTTGGTGGCCCGCTGGCCCGGTCCCGGTCCCGGTCCCGGCTACTTGCGCTGCCTCTGGCCATG